CCCTCTGAATTGGTATATTTGTTTTCTTTGGGTAAATACCTCGCAATTTGATTGCTGGATTGTATGGTAGAGTTCTATTTTTTTTTTAAGATTTTATTTTTAAGTAATTGCTATACCCAACATGGGGCTCAAACTCCTAACCCTGAGCTCAAGAGACACACACTCTACGACTGAGCCAGCCAGGTGCCCCAGGAATTCTATTTTTAACTTTCTGAGGAACCTCCATACTGTCTTCCAGAGTGATTGTACCAGTTCATATTCCCACAGCAGTGCAATGGGGTTCCTCTTTCTCCATGTCCTCGCTGACACCTGTTGTTTATTGTGTTTTTAGCCATTCTGACAGGCGTGAGGTGATAGCTCATTTAGTTTTGATTTGTGCTTCCCTGGTGCTGAGTGACGTTCAGCATGTTTTCATGTGTCTGTTCCAAGTTGGTGAGTGATTTTGACCTTGAGACTTATTGGGGAACCAGAGAAGAGATCCGGATTACTTCTCAAGTGGCACACTTGGTTTCAGCACTCTGGTACCACCTGCAGGAAGCACCCATGAACACATTCAAATTTTAGGAACTATATTTTGGAAAGCAAAAAGGATTAGGTTTCTTTTGGAGAGGGACTGAATTAGCCAGCTAGAAACCCTGTGCTTTTTTTCCCTTAATCATCTTGTGTGGCTTGTTTCTTTGGCTCTAAACTGCACTTCTCCGCCCACAGTACCGGGGAAAATCAGATTGGAAGAACAGTGTCATTAGTGGCTGCATCACTGGAGGAGCCATTGGTTTCAGAGGTTAGTAAACAACTCTCGTATGGTTTTCTTTGTGGCCTTGGACAGCGTGCCGTAGTTGACGTTTCCAAACACATGAGTGTTCCAGGGACAGCCCAAGGCATATGTGGACACTTGATACTCTTCTAAGTAAATCACTTTTACTTCCACATTAACTTATTTTGGAAACTTCTAGTATTTAGATCGGGGTTTTTCATCGTTGGCATCGTTGGCATTGTGGACCACATAAATCTTTGCTGGAGGGATAGTGGGGCTTTCCTGTGCATTGTGGGATGTTCAGCAGTATCCCTGGCCGCTTACCCACTAGAAGGTGATGGCATCCCTTCCTTGCGACAATTGAAAGTGTCTCTAGACACTGGCAAATTCCCCCAGGGGATGGAATCACCCATGGCTGAGAACCACAGAAAGATCTAGATTTTAGAAAAAAGAACTGCCCTCACATTGAAATGGTGGGAAGAGCTTCCTCTCAGTAAGGAATTCCAGAAGTGTATTGATCTGTAGGTTAGGACAGAAGCACGGCTAGGTCTCGTTCAGCCCCGGAGAGCCCACTGATCCAAATGGCAGGCGCTGCTGAACTCTCAGGTCTGCGTATTTCAAGTAGTTCCGGCATTTTTTTTTTTTTTTTTAAATACTATACAATTGTCAGTATAAGTTCTGTGGTAATGTCTTTCTGCAGTTAAGGATTCTTAGACTTCTACCCCCTGAAAGCCCGATAGTATTCTGGAAGTGTCCGGTTATCAGCAGTAAACAACAAAGAAAACAGTTCTCTGCATTTCTGTCAGCGTGCCCATCAAGAGTATGGTTTGGAGGGGGGAACCTGGGTAGCTCAGTCGGTTGAGTGTGTCTGCCTTTGGCTCAGGTCGTGATTCCGGGGTCCTGGGATTTAGCTCCACGTCAGGCTCCCTGCTCCGTGAGGAGCCTGCTTCTCCCCCTGCCTCTCTCCCTGCTTGTGCTTTCTTTCCTTCTCTCAAATAAATAAATAAAAAAAATAAAAAAAAAAAGGAGTGCAATGTGGGGTGTCAGTGACCTGACTCTCCTCCTGGTGGCCGTTGCTAGGACACTCTCCCTCTTCTGTGCCCTTATTTACGCAAAGCAAAGAGCCTGTTTTCTCCTCCTCAGAGAGACGGGATGATTTGCTGTCATTAAAAGCTGCTTCTTCTCGGACAGGCACTTGTGATTTATAGAGTAACTTTTCCTTTGGTCTTCCCATCGCTCAGCTCTGTCAGGGACATTGAGAAGCTCAGCTCCCTCCAGGATTGCTTTGATCACCTTCCCAGGAATTTATTTCATAAACAAATCAGGGTTAACAGGCCATATGCTTTCACTTGCTTCCAAGGGCTGGTTCTCTTAACCAGTTTCCTGCCTGTGAGGGGCTATTTCGTGAAACTGGAAATCGTCATCTTTTGGAATGAGAAAAGTTGAATGTACGGCTAGATAAAGCCCACTGGTATAAACTGTGGACACGGCTTCCTGAAGTCTTACACATCCTGTGGCTCGGCTGACTGACTTAGAAGCTTGACATGGGCGTCCCTGTCGCCGTGGCCAGGCAGACTTCTGAAGGCAGCCTGGCTTGGTGTCTGTCCCCGCAGGTAACGTCATATCTGTTTACTTCACAGCGGGCTTAAAGGCCGGGTTCCTCGGGTGTGGCGGTTTCGCTGCTTTCTCTGCTGCCATTGATTATTACCTCCGGTGAGAGAGCCTGCCTCCAGGGAAGGACACTGCCAGCCCAGCATCCAAGCTGCTCCGTGGGGGCCGCGCTCTGTCCACTGCAGGGCACTCGCTTCAGAGACCGCAGACTTTTCCCCTTAGACCGCTGGTGTCATGAGGGAGCCATGTGGCTGCCGCTTGCCTCCGCCTCCAAGGAGCCACATGCTCTGTTCCCGGGGTGGGCAATATGCCGCGCCAGCCTCTCTCTGAGGCAGATCAGCGGTGTGCTGACTGGTGGGAATTAAGCTTCCCAAAGGTTCCGTCCTGCCCATAGCTGGCCTGCAGGCGGCTCGGGGCGGTGGGACCAGAGGGGACTGAACTCATACCAGCAGGCTCGTTCTACTTTGGAACTCCGCGCGGTCAGCCATGTCACATGGCAGGGCAGAGTAAATGTACACCATCACCTGACCCATTATGTCATTTTGTGGTCTGCTGTCTTTGTTTAAAAAAATTACATGACAGTTTAAAAGGTTGGTTAGTTTTGGTGGGGGAAGGGAACAGGGACAGAGTAAGTGTTTAGAGCCGCCCCAGGAGCCAGAGGTCCTGTCCCCCCTCTTCCACTTCCCATTATGAACAATAAAGGCCGTTCATACCATAAAATAAATGAATCAGTAAAGGGTTGGTTGATTTTTATTTTCAGATTCCACGAGTCCCAAAAGTGGTGCCAGGTGGCCCAGAGACTGGACATCTGGAGGGAGAGTGAGAAAGCTCCTGCAAAGTGTGGGAATGTTCGATTCTCGGGGTGTGCAGAGTAGCGTTCCTCTGACACTGTTCCTAAAGCCAGGGCCTGCCTTGCAAGCAGCCCAGCTGGTCCGTGTCCTGGGATACGTTGAAATTCCATGCATAGGCCCTTACCTCTTCTAAAAACCCTGCTGTGGGCTGGCTGATGGGAATGCCTGCGGTCCTGGCCACACTGGTTTTAGGCTCTGACCGCTGGACCAGGCCCAGCTCAAGGACACAGCGTGTGGAGTTCTACTGTGGTGTTCCTGGTGGGGCCCTGAGCAGCGGCTGGTGAAGATCAGACTGTGGTGAGGGGCCATTCTCCACTATCCTTGGACTGTGGTATCAGGGTTTTTGTGTTTTTTTAAACATATTAGTGTTTTTTTTTAATTTGAACTAGGGGCCTTTTTCTGACAACAGAAGCTCAGCCTAATTGTGCACCCCAGTGCAAAAAAATAGGCTTTAATGGTTGGGATCTGCTGTGAGCACTTCTTCATTCTGGTCCTGTGGTAAGGACATGAAGGGAATGAGCTCTCTCTTGGGGCCAGAGGACAGGCTTGTGGGGCTGCATGATTCCAGCAGCCTGCAGCGAGCGGTGATGGCTCCTATTCTCTGCTGTATGCTGACTCCTTCACCATTTTTTGCTTTCTCCCCCTTTTTCTGCGGTCTTCTAGCTTATGCCCCCTTAACCAGAATTCAGAGGTGGCTGAGACGTTCAGATGTCCCAGGTGTGTATGTATGTGACTGATAATGTCAAAGTCAGCCGGTCACACCTTCCTCTGGCCACATCTGCCACCTCCTCTGCAATGAATGTGAGCTAAGCTCGCTCGGGGTTTACATCCTTCTGTGGTGAATTCTAAGTAATAATCCAGCCCAGTCTCCTAGGTATGAGGCTTCCTTGCTCCCAGCCCAGCTGGAGTATCCTCAGAGGTCTGGGAACAAAGCCAGGAGTGTTTCCTATACTGTCCCTAAATAAGTCACCTGTAAGCACCTTGAGAGCATGGGTAGATCTCCTGCCTGGCAGCTGTCAAAGTACCTGGATGCCTGGCATCTTCCACCAGGCAGCCTAGCAAGGAGGGTCGAATATGCCCAGCGAGTACCAGGAATGCTGCCTGTATGACTGCCTTAGAGCTGATGAGCCCTGGGGCTCTCTGTAGCCATCACTTCAATAAGCCAAGCATTGTCCACACTGGCTGTTCAATCAAGAAAGGAGATGAATAGTTTCCTGTTTTAGATGGCTAAGGAGTCAGTATGAGCTCATAAACCAAACACCAATTTTCAGAGACATCTGGTCCTCATCTCCAGAATAAACATAGTGTCCAATGGCTTAGACTGGTGGGAACCTGTATTAACCCCACCGACTCTCCTGAAGGGAGGCTGTGCCCCCTAGGGGATCCAGCCTTTCCAACTGTCAGGCTAGGCCAAAAGGCTGCCCCAAAGACGCCCACTTCCAAGAAGAATGTAGGGAAGAGTTTGCATAAAATAAGAAGCCTCCACTTTGAGCACTTTCTGCCATCTCTCGAAGGGATGCTGATGGCCAGGTCTTGGTGGGACCTTTGTCCTTGATGAAAGGAAATCTGGCTGGTGCCTGACTCGGAGGCTACTGTGAACCACAAGGAGGGGGCTCACCACCCCCCAAACTGCCACAGTCCCCACAGGGTGAAGGGAAGCTCAGGGGAAGTTAACTAGGTGCACAGATTCCTGGAAACACATGTGGATGCAGCTGGAAGAGTTAAATATTTAGATTGGTGTTTTCCCTGGACTACTGAGTATACAAATGTCCACACCACAGGGCTGAGTTGTGTGCAAATGTTGGGGCTTTGCATTTTTTTTTTTTATTAACATTTTCCTCTCACGTGGTTTACATCAATTTATAATAATCTACATAAATTGAAACAGAACATAGACAAAAAAAATATATCCTTACCAACTTATTAAACTCATATTAATAAAGGTTCCCATCCTACCTGTATCAGCAAAAACTGGCAGCCCACAGCCATTGCCAGCAGGGACAGGCATCCCGGCACTCCTGTGGCCTGTCTGCTGGGCTCCTGTTGGCACAGCCTGCCCTGTTGGGCACAGGGGCCAGGGGTGCTGGGCTGCACAGTCCCTGACTCTTGGGAGAACCCATGGATGGGCTCCTTCCTTGGTGCAGCTTAGTCCTTGTTTGGTACCTGCCCTTCCCCACCCTGGGGGTGGAATTTATAAATATTCTGAGCCTTTTGCATTTCTCAGCCCCTCCAGCCTTCCTCCCTAAGCAAGCTTGGGGGCTGCGGTAGCTACCTAATTCCAAGAAGCAAGCCCCTCATTTGGGGGAGGTGGGAGGCACCCGTTTGGGGCTATAACTAGCTGTAGCTGGGCCTTCAGGTCACTCCCATCAATGGCTCTGGAAGCAAGATGCCACACACCAACTCCTGAGTGCTGGGCACAGACTCCAGGGAGGATCACATGCTGGGATGTTTGACCCAAGTGGTGTTCTTTCTCCACCTCCTGTCCCAGGGCACGGGGCTCCTTGCTAAGCCGCTCACAGGCAGCTGTGTGATCAGGATCGTTTCCCTCCTCTTAGGCATTTCTTTCCTCTGATGTGCACAGAATGTGTACCGTTCTGCCCAAGACTGGGCCACAGGTGTAAACACAAGAAAGGACCCCGTGTCTCATGAGCCAATGCTATGGCTTCAGGGCCAGCAAACCATTCTTTAAAACATAGCTCTGAGCACAAGCTAAAGGAGCTGTTCTCCAATTCTGAGGCCCTAGAGTCTGCTCTCTGCCACCTAGGAGAGCCAGAAAGCCATGTGCCCAAGCCCCCATCATCCGGGAGTGTTTGTTCTCCCGGGCCAACTGCCCTGTGCTGGCAGCTACTGCTCAGATGGGAGGAAACTGCACTGGGAGGATCCTTCTCATTCCATTCCGGTACGGAGAAGTGGGGCTCAGCACTGGGACTAGAACCTGCCGATCCTCTACTCCAGAGCAGAGTGTAGACAATGAACGTCCCTAGCAAAACCCAGCCCCTAAGAGAGGCAGGTGCCTATGACTCCCCAACGTCTGGAGTTTCCTAGAGCTCCCCCAAAGGCCGCATCTGGAAGCTGCGGGTGGGGAGGCAGCACCATGGGGGCTGGCTACTGGGGACGGCACCGGTCTCTGCCAGGCCCCAGAGCACACATGGCCGTGGGGGCCGCCCTGTGGCAGTGCGTGGCTGCGGAGGACTGTACAGTCTAAGGCAAAGGCACCGCAGGGTAGGCGAGGCGCCAGGAAGGACTGCCTCCTAGACGGAGCCTGCCTGTTTCTGGACACCTGCTTCAGCCATATTCGCTGCCATCCAAGAGACCTGGCTCCCCTAACAAAGCCACTATAATGTTTTGCTGCTGAGAGCCGCTTCCCCCCAAATCCGGGCCCCCAGTGCTCCGTGGCACTCCCCGGAATGTTCCACCTGTCCCGTTTGCTCAGTGGCCCGACTCTCCTGCCTCCCCTGATTCCTGACCCTCTGGCTCTCTTGATATCAGGTCACTTGTAAGTCTTGCCACTCAAAGGAAATAGAACACCAGGGGAGAAGGAACTGAAAAGCAGAAGAAACAGTCAAAGATGCCTCACTAGGAGGCGGGAGATCGAACAGATAAACCCCAGAAATGGAGACTGTCAGGTGAAAATTGCAGAGATCGGCTCTCTAGCTCTGTGCTAAGCTGAGGACTCGTGTGCGGCTGTCTCCCTGTCCAACATTTGCACAGGCAGCAAGGCCAAGCAGGTGTGCTTCCACAGGCGGAGGACGGGGTTGGGGGGTGTGGGGAAGCCCAGGAGGGGAGGCAGCAAGCACAGCCTTGGATGGACCACTGCTGCCACCACTGCCCAGGGCCGCCTCAAGTTTCAGAGTGATGGAGTGAAAACCAAGGCTGCACATGCATGTGGGCAGGCCGGGAGGAAGGGGAAGGTGGAGGCAAACCAAGGGGATGCTGCCCGGAGACTGCAATCTGGGAGCAGGGCCAGGAGAGGATAAGCTGGCCGGAGTTACACAGCGCAAAATAAAAACCCTTGGACTGGACTGGTGGCGGGGGTGGGGGGAGGAGAAGAAAGTGCTGGAGGAAATGAAAGAACAAAGCAGGCAGTCCGTATGCCCATACTGGGTCCGTCACTACCGTTTCTGCATGACAAATAGACAGGAAACAATCCCCCAATGGCTCGGGGCAGGAGACACAACTAGAGGGACAGAGGGCAGAGCCCAGGGCTCCAGGTGGTGGGGCAGGGCCCGGGGCGCGCGGCGGTGAGGCTGGGGGCTGGGGCAGCTGGCTTTGTACAAGGTGGCATGGAAGATGCAAGTATTCCAGTTCTTGGAAATCTGCGTCCCTTGGAGTCTAGAGTGCTGGGTGTGGGAGTTTTCTATTGGAGTCTTTCAAGTCTGTGTTGGGTCCCCTGGCCAGAGAGGTTGGCCTGGGCCGCACCCCCCTGCAGCGGCTCCCACCTTGGGCTACACGTCGGTGGAGAAGTACAGTGTGTTCCGCTTCAGTTCTGCGAAGGAAATGGGGGGGTGCTGCAGGTAGTAGAGGAGGACCTGGACCTGTGAGGGGACAGAGAAGATTCAGCAGGGCTCCCTGGCCTCCTGGCCCTCCTCCGATTGGGCAAGAACTAGCAGTCCTGGGGCTGGGGTCCCCTCTGTGCCACTCCCTCCCTGCTCTCAGGCCATCTCAGGCTGCTTCCCCCCCCGCCCCCGCACCCCCTGGCAGCCCGGGTGTGTGTGCCAGTGGGCATCAGTAAAGGATACTGCGGGGCGGAGGCCTGGGCAGCCTGGGGCCGCTTCCCCAACCTCTACTGACTGGCTCCAGAGGTTGGCTTTGGCTGGGCGGGCCCTGCCTCCAGACTGGCCTCTGACCCGGATCTTGTAGGGACAGATTTCAGAGAAGCTTCCTCACCCTGGAAGCAATCTTAGAACTTCCACAGGGGAGGACAAAGCTCCCAGAGGTCTCCTGGGCCCCTGAGCTTGCTGTCCAAGACTGCGGCACTCCCAGGATTGCAGTTAGTGCCAGGACATGTGTTCTTTGGGCCCTTGGTCTAGGCTCACGTTTTGTTTTTGGACTTGGAGGCAAGAATGTACGGAGCCCTGCCTCCCTGGTGACATCCTACTGACCGTCCACCCAGCCGCTCAGCAGGGATGGGCTGGGCTAGGGGACTCCGAGCTGTTCTCTCTCCGCCCCTGCAGGGAAGCCCACTGCACAATGCGACCAGCCACAGGCCCGGACCCTGCCACTGGTACCTGTGCCATGACATCATGGGACCAGATGTCTGCGGCCGACGTGAGGTGTGCTTTGCTCTCCACTTCCGAGGGTCTCAGTAACGTGGGGCCAAACACAGTAGCCAGGTTGTGAAGGGACATTTTGTTGATGGGTTCCTTCTCAGCAACCCTGGAAGGGTTGGGGGAAGGGAGGGGAAAAAAAGTCATTTCTCAGCAGCCATTTGGAGCTCCAGATGCTTGGCCTTAACTGTAAGAACTCCTGGAAGGATTCCCAGAAGGTAGGTACTAGCCTCTCTCTCCTCTGAGGGTAGAGACCTCTTGGTAGGGAGGGACTAAGCCAAGGGACTAAGTCTCCAGCTATTTCCCAGAACATTCCTCTATTAGATTCCTAGCTCCCAGGGCCATCCCTTGATGGTAAATAGCCAAAGCCAGAAGGAACTACTCCCAACTCCTTCCCCTTGAGGATGATGTGATTCCTAACTCAAGAACTTTCCCTGCAGGAGCTCCTGCTCATCACAGCCTATGGGGAGGTCATTATCCTCACCACCGTACAGATGAAGACACCAAAGAACAGAGGTGTGACATGGTTTGCCTGAGGTCACACGGCTAGCCAGTGACAGAGCTGGGATCTGACCCCACGCAGTCTGCCTCCAGAGCCCGTGCTCTCCCGGGTCAGCCAAGCTGCCCCAAGTGGCCTGGAGTGGGGGGTGGGGGGAGCCTAATGGGGGAGTGGCAGGGGAGGGGGCTGGAGATCCAGTAGGAGTCCTTAACTAGACCTAAGGCTCCGCCCGCTGTGCTGATGCAGGACGACCCTAACCCCAGATGGAGCCTGGGGGCTATTCTCCCATACTTTTCCAGAAGGGTCTTCCTCCTGGGACCCCAGAGTTACCTCCCTGTGGATCTTTCTTTGCTTCTCTTGTGTAATAGGCCACATACTCAGTAGATATTTCCCTTGAGTGACAGCAGGGGCTGCCATCTGTGGCTGGCGTCCAGGCGGACCCAGTACCACCCAACATGTCACAGAGGCCCTGGGCCTTCCTCAGGCCTAGGAAATGTTTTGGGGTTGAGAGCACTCACCTCGAGCAGCACCCCTCACTCCCAACTACACGGACGTGCATGCTGACTGCGTTGGAGACAGGCAGACATTGGCCATGCCAGGAGGCAGCTTGGAGTTGGCCAAGCCCCCCTACACACACACACACACACACACACACACACACACACACACCAGCCAGGGGCCCAGATGTGGGAACAGACTGTGCCCACAACAGTTCCCAGGGTGGACAACCTAATGAATTTTCCCCTCCCACTCCTCCTCTGTGTGTCCTCCCCACAGAGCTCACCAAACTATGGGAACCGGTTGGGGCTTCAGTTCTGGCCAAACCAGAGGGAAAATGTCTCATGATGGGAAAAACAAGACCGCAGCCCCAGGCATTTCCAGGTCTCCACTGGCCCTCCAGAGCTGGCCTGGCTGAACCACAGCCAGGAGCCCGGGCCCGAGGGTGAGAACCTGGCTCCGGGAGGAGCGGGCCCACCACGTGGCCCCCAACTCGGGGCTCCTGGGTGGCAAGCGGATTGAAGGGACACCAGGAAAGTTTTCCTCCCCATTTACACCCGGACCGGTGCTGGGGCTCAAAAGCGAGTGACTAGGACCCTGGAAGGGCTGGTTTCAGTTCTGAGCTTGGCTGCAGGCATCGGCTTGAGCAGCTCTCGGTTGGACCCCACGGCAGAAGGGGTGGGGGACAAGGGGGGAGGGGACTTAGCTTAGGACTAGGGACATGTGCCTTCCGAGGACAGAGCTGTTGCCAACCCCAATCAAACTCCTCCTGTGCCGGGACTCAGCTTCCCTGTTAGATGAGGTATTAGGTCAAGACCAGCGGGTTGCAAGCTTTTGACCGTTGACCAACGACGAACACACTTCCTGTTACAACCCAGGACACATGACCGTGTGTAACAGAACAGAAGGACAAGCACACTACTGCTCGCAGCCTTCCCTTTACAACTGGGAAGTGGACTGAATGACCATGGACTGCAAAAGCCATCGACAGTCTTTGGCTCTGGCCCTGCCAATACGGGAGGTTGCTATCAGGACCCCGATATTTCTCAGAAGAATTTGGAGGCAAGAGTTTGAAAAGCAAACTCTCACCCTGTGATGGATGACCCAGCAGAAGCCAGCGCCTAAGAGGAAGAGCCAAGAAGGTGGATCCCCCCACAAAAGTGGCCTCCCCAGCAGGGAGGGGCCTGCCCTGGGCTCCCTGCCCGCCCACCCACCCCCACACCCCGCCAGCCCGAGTTGTTACCTTTTCAAGTGTTCCAGCAGGAAGAGGAAGGTGATGAGGTTGGGGTCGGGCAGGGTGCGGAGTAAGTGCATCATGCAGTTTTCCTTGGCAGCAGGGTCTGACAGGGCTGTGGAGGGAGGAGAATGGGGCAAGGCTGAGGCTTGGCTCCTGGGTGGGGAGGCCTGAGCCAGTGCGCCACCAGGGTCTGGAGGCTGTGGGACCCTGAGGGAAAGCCCAGGTTGCAGGGGTGAGGGGAGCAGACCCTATAGGGAAGGAAGGGCCTGGTATCTTCCCAAGGGTGGGCTATGAACAGCTGGTTCCTGTGGAAGCCCCCACCCGAAGCTTAGTCAGGAAGCACGCTGGCGGGGATTGAGTGCCCTCCCGTCCTTCCCGCACGTGCCTTCGCAGCTCTGGTCATAGCCCGTCCCTGGTCTAGGAGGTTAAGTTTAAGGCAATGAGAACACTGCTTTGAACGTTTCCTCTTTCAACTGCCTCTGATGATAGAGCAGGCAATGGACAGCCTTCCACGGGGTTCCTCACTTCCTGTGGTGGCTGAAGCCTTGACCTGCCCCTGGAGGAGGCAGCAGGGAGAAAAGGGGGAGGCAGGAAGGAGGTGCCCAGGCGCCCCGCTGGCCGAGGCCTTCAGCTTCATCGCCCAGGGCATCAGTGGGAGCGAGAGACTGCTTTTCTGGAAGGCTGCGTTCCGGCCAGCTCTGGTACACTCCAGCCAGGCTTGTCCTTGGCTCGGGACGCTGGCCCTGGCCACCCACCTCAGGGCACATTTCCCTGGATGCTTGGCTTTCCAAGCAAGGAGGTCAGTATTTGGGGAGGAAGCACAGAGGGCAGCCCACGGGGACAAGAGGGGAGAGAGGCAGGCAAGAGAGGGTCCAGGCTCTGCCTCAGGCCCCAGTGGGTCACACCCCACTCTCTGGGCCACTCAGCCACGCCGCTCCAGAGCACTGAGCAGATGCACAAGCAAGGGGAGCCATGGGTCTCCCGCTCTTTGCTGTCAGGAAGGCCCGGCTCCGCCGGGTTCTCGGTGCCCCAAAGCCTCACCGATGCCCTCCATGAAGGCTGGGTAGAGTCGGTCTGTGAGGAGGGGTTCGGGCAGCTCCCGGAAGTAGAGCTTCAGGGTGCCAGCAATGGCATTGATGTCCATGTCACTCAGCATCAGCAGGATGTCCTTGTTATCTGCAGAGGATGTGGACAATCGGGAGTGCACCCATCTGAGCCCCTCTCTTCCATGCAGCCCTCAGCTAGGTAGGCCCTGCTCCATTCCGCACCACACAGCTGGGGAAGCCCCCCACCCACTCCATCTCTGCCCTGGTCTTGCCAGGAAAGGCAGGAAGTAGGTACAGCGCCCACAGGTGGTGTGTGACTCAGCCCCATTGGGGGAGGGGAGCCCCGTTCTCCACCCAGAGTCCTACAGAGTCCTCACACCACATGGCAGACACCCTCTCTGGAACCTCCCCACCGCTAAGCCTCTCTCTGGAAGGCCCTGCACATTTTTTACATGAAAAATCATGTTCCAACAAAGCCTCGGCTTCCAGGTTGCACAAAGGACCCATATGCCGGCACATCCCCAGCCCCTCACCCCAGGCTTGCTGAACGCAGGCCCCTCCCTCGGCTCCCTTGGAATCAGCCCTGCCTGCCCAATTCAGGCTTCCTGGCTATCACAGCACAAACTCACATGATGGGGGGAAGAAAAACCAGAGAGGGCAGCCCCCACCACGGAGGAATTTATGGAGGGAGGCAGCAGTGCTCCTCCCAAAGGGCCCTTGTTCAGGGCTCTGGAGACAGCAGAGGGGAGCCTGAGCCAGCCAGCCCAGGTTCAAAGCCCTTCTGTTTCCTTCCAGTCCCCCAGGCACCACAGAGCTAGCAAGAAAGCCAGAAACACCGGAATAAGAAAGATCTGAGTTGAAAGAAGGCTCAAAACCTACAAGCTGAGCAATGCTGAGCAAGTGACTTGGCCTCTCTGAGCCTCCATTCCTCATCTGCAACAGTGGATAAGAGACTGGGGCGGGGGGGTGTTTACATGAGCAAACACAGGCAGAGTCCCTGCATCAGACTCAGAGATGGCCCACTGCAAGCCACATGGGACTGTGGTTCACAGAACAAGGCTCTTCCACCATTGGTGACCTGGGGCCTCTGTGGAGAAAGGCCTCTGGTGCTCCTGGGCTCCCAGAGCAGCCTGCTGGGCCCCTAAGAGTGCCCTCTCCCCACCAATGCCTGGGCCTCCCACACTCACTGGCATCAAAGGCGGCCTTCAGTGCCTGGATGTCCGTGGCCACCCCTGATATCCGGTAGATGCCAACTTCCTCGATGCCCCGCTTCTCCACCTCCTCCACACACTGCCGCACGATGTAGGGTACCTTGGAGCGCTCCCGCCTGGTGGGGAGGGGCTGTGAGGGGGGGGCGGAAGGCCTCCCCTCCCTGGCTACCTCAAGCCCCCACTTCCCCCGCACACCCAGGCTTCTGGTATCAGGGTTGGGGCTGCAGAGAGGACTGAGGCCATGCCACCCCACCCTACCCAAGCAGCTCAAGGCCGGCCTATTGCAGGATGGCAAGGGACAAAGGCAGGAGGTGGTTTGGGAGACAAGTGCAAAGATGCTGAGACGAGAATGTTCCTTAGAAGGTAGATCTCAGCTTCAAATGCTATGTGGGGCTGAGCCGTAGACCCCTGAGGGAGGTGGCTGAGGTCCTGGAGACCCAGGCCATGGAGGGGGCGGTGGGGAGTGGAGGGGCATCCCCTCCTGGATTCCCGCTGGCCGTGGCCAAACCTCAATGTGTGCCTACGTCATCAGAGCACCTCACTGACCACAAGAAGCTGACGGCCCGGGAAGCTCACAGGTCATCTTCTGGTGTTTAATGCTGGCTTGCTGACTTCTGAAGCATGGGTGAGATGGAGGCCTATGTCTGCGGGCCACTTTGGGCCTCTGAACTGGCCATCCCTGACTACAGAGCCCGGGGGGGGGTGACTCGCTAGGGGTCCAGAAAGGGACCCCGGGTGCTAATACCACCACTCACGTGCCCCAGGGGGACCTACTTAGTCACTACGCTGATCTTCACGCCAAAGACACCAGTCTGCTTTTTCGACGGGGTCCTCTTCAGGCTCATATCCCGGCTGGTGAACTTCATGGAGAATTCCACTTTGATCTGGTTGGGGGTAAGGCAGGCACAAATCCCCCAGGGTATGAGCGCCTGAGGAGGGCCTCTGAAACATGGGTCCCCCCAGCACGGCCGACCAGTGCTGCCTCCCACCCGGGGCTCCCTGCAACACCTACAGGGTGGGAGTGGGAAGGGTGCGGGCACAGGGGATGGGAGAGGGACTGGGTTGAGGGGACAGGGGGCAAGACAGCACCCCCGAGGACAGCAGCCGGGGGCCCGCCCACTGTGCGGACATTTCCTGTTTCCCCAGCTCACCCCGTTCATCTCAATCACATCTGTGTGCCAGTTCTTGGTCTCCACAGTCTGGGGATCCAACTGCAGAGAAAGGAAGAAAGAGAACGTGAGATGGGGAGAGCAGAGGAGGCATCCCTCACAGGGGACAGGGCAGGACTCTGCTCCTCTGACTCAGTGGCCTGCGGACTGTTTTTCCTTGAGCACCCACACAATGATTTTGAAAAATTATGCACCGCCCAGCACATTTGCGACTCGACATCTGAATATTTCCAAAGCAAGTTTAAAGAGTTGTAAAGGCTATAGCTTCCAGGATAACGTAAATATTTACATCTTAAAATAAAACTGTGACATCATTCTTTTCAATGTATTCAGTGGGATCCAATTACCACAGCGATCTGCTACCCACCATCATTCATGAGGAAAATACAAGCTCTCCTTTCCCTTGCAGACACCCTGCATTGTTTCTTTTTTCTCCCAAAGAATTTTGTCCTAGTTTGTATTTTTCTACCTTAAGGGTTTTATTCATCACCCTATTAGATTTTGCTTCAACAAAAATATCTGTACAGGGGTGCCTGGGTGGCTCTGTTGGTTAAGCATCTGCCTTCGGCTTAGGTCATGATCGCAGGGTGGGTGCTCGCTCCTTGCTTAGTGGGAGTTTACTGCTTTCTCTACGTGCCTCTCCCCCTGCTTTTGTGTACACGCTCTCTCTCTGACAAATACATAAATAAAATCTCAAAAAAAAAAAATCTTAAAGAATCTGCCTATCCTCCCAAGCAGATTAAAACAAAACAAAACAACAAAACCTTATAAAAAAAATATCTGTACAAATGGCAATCAAACACTTCCTGAGACCACAAGGCTCCAAATATTCAAGACATGTTTTGAGTTACTACAGCAACTGATAGCACACGATAAAAACACTAACCAGCATGTTAAAAATAAGTATTAATAAATATTCAGTAGCAAGGTACCACTTTGGAGGACTTACGTCTCTTCACGAGGTGGACAGAACACTTTTTCTGTTTTAATTCGTGTTTTGTTTTGGTTTTTTTTTTTTTTTTTTTTTTTTCTTGGGGTGAAATGGGGGGCGGCCCCCTTTTCCTCGGGGGTTGTTGGGTTTTTTTTTTTTTTTTTTTTTTAAGTTGGTTATTTTCTTAGAAATCTTTACACCCGATGTGGGGCTCAAACTCATGACCCCGAATCATAGGCTCCATCACCTGAGCCAGGCGGGTGCCCCTGGTTTTGCTTTTAAACATGTAGAGGGTGAAACATCTCGTTCCCGTAAGTTAACTAGATGGGGCTGTTTTATTATAGCAATGTTACAGGATTCTCGAAACTCTTTCCTTCTCGTTTGCTTTAAATTGCATAAATACCGATTAGCAAAATTTATTTATTTTTATTATTTCTTAAAAAGATTTTATTTATTTATCTGGCTGAGAGAGAGAGCGCACAATCGGGGGAGCGGCACTCAGAGGGAGAAGCAGGCTCCCCGCTGAGCAGGGAGCCTGATGCAGGGCTTGATCCTAGGACCCTGGGATCATGACCTAAGCCAAACGCAGATGCTTAACCGACTAAGCCACCCAGGCACCCCCAGCAAAATTTATTTTAAATGATCTGTCAGCTGACAATGTCCATCAGTTTTGTGGAAAGCAAAGAACTGGAAAGCACCTGACTCATGAACGGATTTGGAACTTGGCCATCAGCGTCTTCTACCTTCTCCACACCCACACCCACATTTCAAGAGGCCCTGGTGTCGGCAAGCAGGAGGCACTGGCGCCCCGGGCCATGTTCCACAGAGAGCCTTGGGCTCCCCCGCAGAGGAAGAGATCTGAAGGCAGAAAGCCCTTCCCAGGCACATCGCTTGCAGCCAGTGGCACCTATGGGAGTTGGGAATCTGCAGACTGATTCTCTGGAAACTCCCTGCCCATGTACTCCCTGGGAAGCTTCTGTGGCTTCCCAACACTGCCAACCCCCACGCCGCCCGGAGCACGTGCACCACAGTGTGAACACCACTGTTCCAGCAGGCCCACAGCATGGAGGAGTGCTCCGGTCAGCCCAGGGTGGGTTGGGCCCTGGGGCTTCCTACAGCTTGAGCTAAGTCCTTCTGCACCTTCCATCCGCATACCCGCTGGGCATGGGTGGCAGGGGGCTCTGGGGTCTGCATTTGGCCTAGGCCCAGCCTCCAGGAGTCGCTTCCCTGCCCAGACGAAGGGTGCAATTGAGGAGGACACCGAGGGAGAGCAGTGTGGTCGGGACCCAGTAACCCCATGTGTCCCACTCTGCCCCAGCACCTCCTCTGCACACAAGGGAAGCACATGGGACTCACCAGCCTGGCTGTGGTCCAGGCTCACTATTCCATAAGCCTTGGGACCAAGTGTCCCAAGGGTCCCAAAGGAAGCCCCTGAAATGTCCCTCTCCCAAAACGTTTTCTGTCCCAAAACCTCACCAGGTCTGTGGCATGGACTGTCCCTTAGGCACCCCTTCACCTAACCCCCCCTCCGCAAGACCTGGTGCCTCCTAGTAGCCGCCACGGCCTAAGCCAGGGGTCCCTCCCCAGGTCCTGGAGTGGTGTCTGGGCACAGCCAAGTGGGGAAGGGCAAGGATTGAGACTCAGGCCTATGAAGGTTCAAATGTCCACTCTTCCACTCAACTGTGTGAATTTGGGCAAGTCACTTAAACTTCCCTGAACTTCAGCTTCCTCCCTGGGGCATCCATACCACCTCAGAGTCCCAGGACTAATGTATTCTGAGCATTTCCGAGGAGTCCGGCATGAAGTCAAACCTTTCACACAGGTTATCTCAATCATGGGAACAAGGTACATGGTAACAAGGCTGTGAGGTCTAGCCTTTTCACACTCCCATTTACAGACGAGAACACTGAGGCTTAACGAGACTAAGGAACTTGCCCAATGCCACTATCTAGGAGGTGAGACGCTTCCTGCCGCCCTGAGACGCCTTCCCTCTGCAGCTGGCTGGCACCCTCCCATCGGTCTGAGGCCAGGGCTGAGGAAGGTGGCACTTCCGTGTTTTACTGTGAGTCCCCGCAACTGCCGTCTCCCAGATCCCCCCAGTGGGTGCTTGAGGGAGGCCTGCCTAGCCCCTCGTGCCCAGGCTGTGAAGATCTGCCTCCCAGCAGACCAGCAGCCTCCAGAAACCAAGGCTATTTTCAGGACGTCACTTAAATACAGAGAAGGGAGGGTGAGGAGTGGCGAGGGACATGGCACATTTTCCAGAGAAATGCTGCTGCCTGAGTGGCTGTGGCTATTTATAACCCGTGGGAAATGTGGACTCTGCTATTTCCTGATTAGATTAGTGCCGGGGGCGGAAGAGCCAGCCCCCAGGATGTCAGTGGATAGAGCACCTGACCGCTGACCTCTGAGTCCCAGCAGATAGGTGCCAACCCCCGGCCCTGGGCAGTGGGTACCGAGGCCAGGCCAGATTGGGCAAGGGAGGCAGACAGATGGGGCTGTGAAGGGCCAGGCTGGGGGAGACCCCCAGGGGGCCCCTCCTTCACCCCACAGGTAAGACACACACAGCTGGGTCTTCCTCAAGGTGGGGCACGGGCAGGAGACCAAAAGGAGCCATAGGACATCCTAGAGAAAGTTCTAGGTGGTCCACACACTGCCCACCGCCAGGCTCAGTTATGTTCTGTCTACCTTTGCTTTTAGACTCGGTCAGGTCATGGCTGCACGTTCAGCCCTCTGCCAAGGGGACACAGCTGACCTCAGGGACTGATGTCCACAAGAGAACCACCCGGTGTCCCCAACAAAATCCTGAGGCCACGGAAGGAGATGGAGATGCAGGCTCTCAGAGCGCTTCCCCAGCATAGCGTCGAGGACAGGAAAGCCCAGTGGCCTCGCAGGCCGGTGGGGGCACTTCCTTCCTTCAGCAAAGTCCTGAGGGGTCCTTAGGCCTACGTCCTTCCTCCCAGCCCATTTGTCACCAAGCGCATCTCCTTCCCTCTGGCTCGAAGGCTGTTTGTGGCCACCTCCTGGTGCCGGGGGTTTCCAAGGCACCAGTGAGTCTGGGGTCCCCAGTCTCACTCCCCAGGGTAGATGACACGGTCCATGGTCAAACCTGGGTCCTTCCAAGGGTAGAGCCACAGCCTTCCCTCTGCCTTGTACTCCTGCAGCCACGAAGCTTGCCTGAAAGCCTTCTGGTGATTTTTGCCACTGCCCTTCCCACATGCGCTCACGCGGGCCCGGGGTGGCACCGCCCCGTCTATGGGCAGCTACGGTCCCAGTGGTCAGGGAAGCACAAACCAAGCCGCAGTGCATTACTTTGGGACGTGACACTGGCACTCCCAGGCCTCCGCTTCCCCTCCCTCCCACAAAAGCCTCTTGGCACTGGGCCCCTTCCCTCAGAACCTCACTCTGTCATTTCCCCAGTGCAGGCCTGAGGCCCCCAGGAGCCCACTGACCCCTGACCTCCCATCCCTGTGGGCCTGGCTTCCTGAATCCGGGACCTGGCATCCTGGGCCTGACCGGGGAGGTGGCATGGACTTCTCTCAAAGCCAGAGTAGTTTCTAGGGTTAATAAAAACAAAGTGCTTAACAACGAGGGCAAGAAATCCAGTGTGCTGGAGCTGTTGCCCTCAGAGATGAATGGGGCGCTGAAGGGAAGGCAGAGATGGCTGGCCGTGTTTATGGGGGTGCCTGCCAGAGGCTGAGTGTGGGGCTGTGGAGACCAGGCCCTGAGCCAGGTGTCCTGTCTGACGGGGGTACATTTCCCGGGGCTCCCAGGCCAGTGGCCAGGGTGGCGGTACTGGGTTGGCTTTTTCCTGCCCTTCCCCGAGTATGTCCATATACTCTGGGCTGGGTCCCCTTGGGACACCAAACCCAGTCTGTCATTGGGACAGACCACAGGCGTGAGAGGCATGGGAGGGCTGGCAACAGGGGGACTAGGGAGCTGCCAAGGCCTGCCTCTCCTCCCTCTTGGGAAGGGTACGGGAGGATTCCGTCAACGTGGCTGCTCAGAGAGAAACTCCTAGAGAGGGAGGGTGGGGTGGGAGGGGGATGCCAGGGCCCACGCTGGGCTTCCAGCTCAGCAGCCCGGCCAGAGGAGACCACGAACAGGCCATTTT